TTCTAGTAGCAAGGAGATGGGAATTTTCTAGAGGGCAGATGAGTGCCTTGAGGAAGGTTGGTTTTTCCCTCTTTATAGGTCTATGATTGGGATAAGAAGTTTCAGTGACAAATTTTAGTTTTATGCTCAATCTCAGAAAGGCACTGCCAGTTCAATGGCCTAGAGATTACAAGACAAAAATGGGAAATCAATGGAGCAACTATGAAACCCCTCAAATACCATACCATGCTTATATTAAGCTGCATAGTTAGCCATACATAGTCTAGTGATTAGCTATTTTGCTTTGTGAAGTGGGATTCATTTAATTTCACATTTGGTGTGTGCCAGTCAATGATGATTCCTAGATCCAATTTGTGTAATGCAAAGTATGACAAATTTTTAAAAGTCAGATTCAATCCCAAAGCACTTTAAGACTATAAGGTTGTAGATGACACACTACTGACAGCCTCTCCCACCCCCAACTTTCTATCTCCCCCCGCACCCCACCCGTCTTCCCTACTCCCTATCACCCTCTACCCCCATTGCTCAGTGAGGCTTTCACATCGGCAGACTCAATGGTAAGAGCACTAAATATGAAAATAAGGCATAGGAATAGTAATCTAAATTATATGAAAACAGTAATAAGAAGCTCCACCTGATCTAATGGGCAGAGTAAATAGCAAGGGATTACCTGAGAATTATGTGTGGGACTTGAAAGGTTTAAATACAAGTCTGTAATTAGGTTATGGCTTACCTTGTCCACAAGGCAGCTCAGCATTAATTAAAAGAGATGATTAGTAAGCAAATAAGATTCTATCTCATCAAGTGCAGCACTGCTTCCTTTTCTAAATAACCTACAGCCTTAGCCCCAGAAAAAGAAGAGCCTTTGAAAAGGACCCGGTGTTGGAGGTTGGCCTGTCTTGCTGCTGTTCTCTAAAGCCATGGAGAACATGGAAGCTTTAAAACATTACCTGGAATGCTGAAATAAGAGCTTTAGTAGGTTAGTATTTCCTTTTTGGGGGGTTGGGGGTGGGGGAGTTCCTCTGTTCTAACTTTCATGATGCATCTGAATAAATTGTCAGGTGCCCCAGAAGCCCAGAAATGCCTTTTTTGGGGACAGACAATTTGATAAGATGTGACTTGGAGCTGAGAATAAAAGGGAGTGAGAATCCTTCATTCACTGTCAGCTTTGAATGTCTCCTTCCTGTGTCACCATTTCTCTGTAATGTGTGAGAGAATCTGGTTTCACTTCTATCTTACTAGGGCTTGTCAAGCCTGGGAGTGGAGGATGGAATACTACAAAGTACAGGAAGGGCTCAGAAAATGGTTCTATTAACAATCTGGATGCAACTGTACAAACAACTTGTCCTGTTCACCGCTTCTGCATTTAACCGAGCTTGTCAGATAATAAAGATTTTATACCTCTACCGCAAAGTTTTCAGAATTCTTATAAAAGGCTAGAAACATAATGGTAATTAGCTTCCTTTCAAAATACAACTCTAGTGTGTACCAAGCACATGGGACAGAGAAGAAACAGAACTGATGGGGGTCCCGAGGAGCCTGGATTTGAGAACTATCTCTGTGAAATAATTGGGTGACCCTTAGAATATAATTCAACTTGACTGGGCTCCAGTTGCCTCATCTATTAAAAAGGAAGAATGAATGGGATTACTTAGTATTTTTTAAGCCTGGATGAACAGTGGAATAACCTGGCTAACTTGGAGGACAGTTTCTATCCCAGACCAATGAAGGAGACTAACTCTGGGGGAGATTCTGGGTGTGGGCATTTGTAGCAGCCCTGCGGGTTATCCTGAGCCTCCAAATTGAGAGCCACTGCATCTGATCCCTCCAGTGTCTTTGGTGTCCATCATTCTATGACATCATTCTGTTCTGCCTGTGGCAACATGGGTATAGACTGTTCCTGAACAGATATGGTTTTAATAATTTTAATAACAATTAAAGTAATTTTAATAATGATCCTCTTTTTCTCCAACTATATCTTCTACTAAACTCCAGAAGATTTTGCCTCACATTTTGTCCAGACCACCTTGGCATTTTGGAGGCCCAAGCACTCCATTTTGGTCTGTCTTAAAAGGAAAAGTTAATGTTATACCTTATTTCAAAAAAAAAGTTAATGAGGGTCAAAGTTAATCTGCTCTGCAGAATTTTTGACCACTTTGCTAAAAAGCATTTCAACTTTCAAATATTTTTGTCAGGAGCAGGGGACCAAAGACATAGTGAGTTAGTTGACCTGCTTCACTTAAATCTTGGCCAATAGTTAACCATGGCTTTCATCTAAAGGCTGGTGTTCTTGACACACAGCAGCTGCAGATGTTCCCTTTGCCCAAGCTGCATCCTTGTTTGTGGGAGAGAGCAAGAGATAAGAATGGTATAAAACAACCACCCTGCCGGGTAAAACAAGACCTATGCCCTGTGGACAACTCAACTCCTTGGCCTAGATAGGAGGATCAGAATACATGGAGGGCAGATATTCAAAGTGGACAAATGCTCATTGTGTCTGGTGAATAGCAGACTCCCATGTTAAATATTTGATTGTAATAAAAAGGAAAACTGGCCCTCGTTTGGTTGATTGGACTCAAAAAGAAATGTTCCCCCTCTAATGACCACCCTGAGACTGTCTAGGGCAGATGAGACCTAAACTCAGTGTAGCCATATTACACAGAAGGTCAGTGCATATGGCTTAGTGCTCTGTACATATTGTCTAGAAATTCTTAGCAATTTTATCCTTGAATTTGTGTTTTGTAAGTGCAGTCTGATGGGACAATGAAACATGTGCTGAGAGGGCTTGGAACCTGGGCACACACGTGGTCTATAGTCACATAGCCTCTTGTTGCCTTCCCGGGATGGGATCTCAGCTACCTGCTCCTGCTTCTGGCATTCCTACCAGGCTTGCTTGCCCTCCCAAGCCTACTGCATGGCATAGTGACAAGGTTAATTTCCATCACCACCTACATCTCTGGGTGGGCCCTGGGTGCAGAGAAAAAGAGGGTCAGTGTTGGGCATATGGCCTTCAGCATTCCAGGGCAGGGCAAGGAACTGGCTGTCCCTGCCTTAGGCTGATGGGGCCATGGTGTGTTTTATAGGCGACTTAGTCGGAAGTCTCACTCACACCAGATACCAAGCATGTCCCAGTGGGGTGATGGCAATCTCTTGGTGGTTGCCTATCCCCTGTGGATAGGGGCTGTCAGCCATGAGGAGGCGGGATTGATTTCCCTGTCCATGTTGAGGGCCTACATTTTGATTTTACACTGGGCTTAACAAGTCATGTAGTTGACCTTGCCTAACCTGTTTGCCAACAGCCAGCTCTAGGTTCTAGAGCGCTATGTGAGCCTGGGGAGGGCTGTTAAAGTTTCACACCCACATGTGTCCACTCTTCAGGGACAGAGTGAAAGCTCTGTCTGTCTTTTCAATTTTTTTGTCTACTGTTAAATATCATAATATATTTTACATATATAATATATTAGCTGTGTGACATGAGGCAAATTACTTTTCTGGGTTTTGGTATGTTATTCTGTCATATAGGAATAATAATACCATGTCATAAACATGAAATGAGTTATCATACATAAGTGCTTGACACAGTGCTGGGCACACAATTGATGTTTAATAAATTTAAGTTGCTATTATTATTATGATTGTCATTATTATTTCCTATGAGCCCTGGAAGCAGCTACAAAAGTATTTTGATGAATACTTTGAAGGATACACATTCTAACAAACTCATTTGGGGTTCTGGTCTCTGGGTTTCTTTCCAATATATTACTCAAAATTTATTTTAATCTAATATGTAGTTCAGAATTGATTTCCTTTTTTAAAAAATATTTTATTTTTATTTATTTTTAGAGAGGGGAAGGGAGGGAGAAAGAGATGGAGAGAAACATCAGTGTGTGGTTGCCTCTTGTGCACCCTTCCACTGGGGACCTGGCCTGCAACCTAGGCATTTGTCCTGACTAGGAATCGAACCGGTGACTCTTCGGTTTGCAGGCTGGCACTCAATCCACTGAGCCACACTGGCCAGGGTCAGAATAAATTTCCTTAGGGGAAAACTGTGAGAATAGTTTAGTCAGCTATCTTGGTGAAGAAAATATTGCAGTGGGGAGGAGGGGCAGATGTGCAAAAGGGGAGGGGAGAAGAAAAAGAGAAGAGGCTTTATTGTATGCTTTTTAGATTGTAACTGGTGTGAAATGACTTCTCTTGAATTTTGCAGGATGCTTCTCTAAGCAAAATTTTCTCTACAAACTTGGAAATCTCTATGGCATGCCTAAGAACAGCCACCTCCACCCTCAACTAAGTCTCTTTTAACAGTTAAAACCAAGCTTGTTGGAATATAGCATTTTTAGAATTTCCAGAACATATGGTATACTTTCCTCTTGGCAAAATGTGACAGCCAAGTAGGGAGAGAGGTCCATGATGAAAGGAGAAATTTAGAAGTGACAATTCTTAGAAGCAAAATGTGTTTATTTCCTAAAGCCTACTTTCCAAAGAAAAATGCTTTTCATATGGAGCTCTTCCATTGAGAATGTTGTTGAACACAGCTGCTTGGAGAAAAATCACTTACTTTGATAGAACAGAGAAAAAAATAGTCTGTGTGATCATTTGTTCTTTGAATTGAGAAAAATGCTAGTTACCAATAGGACAAAAGAGAGACCTAAAGGTAAAATATTTTTACCAGAGGAGTTAGAAAAACATGTCTTAACAGATGAGACCCAGAAAGTATTATAATAAAGAGTGGATAGAAAGTTACTTATTTTTAATAAAAACAATAGTCATGTGTCTGACCTTATACTAATTCTTTTTAAAACCCTTGGAGGAAGGTTCATTGGCCTCACTTTATAGAAACAGAGCAGAGACACATGGGGGCAAGGTAATCAGAGCAGGTTACTCAGCCAGGAAATGGCAGAGTTGAGATTAGGTCCAAAGACTAAATTTCCAGCTCTTGACCATTGCTTTCCACGATTTGAGGTAGAATTTGGGAAGTCACTAAATGCTTTTGTAATTACCATGGCTTTGTTGGAATGGCCACCTCCTTGGAATTCAATGGTTCCAAAAGCATCTGTTGGGCTGAGCTGTGTGTGCTTGCTGATGGACCACTTCTCAGACTGAATGTCATTTCGAGAGAGGCGACTCTCGTTTTTCTCATTCTGAAGAACGGAGATACTGGGAGTGAGGCCGACATGCTGGCCTATTAGACGCCCACAGCAACACCTGTAACATAAGAGGTCAAAGTGAACCCATTGTATCAGCCACTATTGGAATACACACATAAGGCTGGAAAAATCTACAGATAGTACCAATCTACTTAGTCAGTTTTCAGGTGGAATCCTGTGACGTGGTTGTATCAAGCAAATGGTGAACTCAGGATTTAGGTGACACACATACTTTTCCTTTTCAGCCCCCTCCTCATTTTCCCTTAGCTGTGTAAGCTGTAACATGTCTCCTGTCCTTCTCTACCCACCCCTTTCACACCTGCCACCTTGTTCAGGATTGGAATCTGTGAACAAAAGCTCTGTAGAGTTTTCTACTTCTTACTCCTCCCATCTATCAAATCTTACAGGAAGGACACTGAACCGCTTCAAAGGAAGAATTTTAACATGCACATTGAAATGAGGAATCTCACTCATATGTGAGTCATAACCTAACTTGTCTTTTCCAAATTGATATTCACTGTCAAATATCCAAGTTGGAGGAAAAAAATCTGCAGGTTAAGTGTTCTTGAAGAAACAATGAAAAAATTATTCACAAGACACTTGAAAACAAAATTCACTCCTTACACCATGAAAATGTCCTTCAGACTTTACTGCCATCATTATTATGATTATTATTAATAATTCTGGTACATAGTTACCATTTTTTAAATACTAACAATGTGCCATTCATTTTATGTGTAAGATATGTAGTTTTAAAGGTTAGGTACTTTGCTCAAGGTTATGGTTTATATGGCTCTACAGTCTATATTTTAAACTGCTTAATCACATTGCCTTTTCAAAAAGGCCTTTCAGACATTGTGTTACTTTATCCCGAATACTTCCCACCTTACAGTCTGTTGATTTTCAAGAAGGTAAATCAGATGCTAAAATTGTGCTTGGATAAGGATCTGAAGGTCTGCAGTCTAATTAATAATCTGCTAGGAGTCAAGTATTTAAAAATCTCTTTTACTATAGCAAAGCAAGTTGGTACAAACTAAGCATTTTGGTGAAATGCTTAATAGGGAAAACCAGTAACCATACTAAAAATACACATATAACCCATTCTTAGATACAGTGATTAATTCCTCCCCTGATGGTACATCTGTTATTCTGAATAGACTCAGAGAATTAACTGCAGAGATGGCATATTATGTGGTGAATATATACAAGATTGCTTCAAAGATGTCCAGCAACAATAAAAGTTCATCTTTAATTTCACATTGGTCTACATGTAATGGATAGCGATTACTACTGTAGCTCCCTTCAATAGTAATCACTATCACTAAGTAGTTGCTACTTCAAGTTCTCAGTACATTATAAAGGTAGGAAGATTACCTATGGGGGTCTTTGGTGCTGGGTATGATGTGAACACATTCCCTTTTATAAAATGCTCTTTCTATCCAGGATTTCTGAGCCTAAAAAGAAAAAGAAGAGTAAAAGTGAAAATAATATTTAAGTATTTTTGACGAGGCAGCAACATTTCAGAATCACATGATAGAGTTGTATCTCACAAACTGAAGAAATGGTGGTTACACACAAACATAGCATACAACAAAATCAGTCACTCCCAGAATGTGGTGATTAGTTTAACACTATAATGCTGAGAGTTAAAGGTAATGATCATAATAAAAAGAGTGCTAAAACCATACACAAATAATATTTTTGAAGGACAAAAGAAACAATGCTACTTACAGAGAAAATGAAAAATATGGAACAGTATGTTTGTAATCCTACAGAAAACAAGTGTCCAGTTGTGGCAAGATATATAGTTGACCCTTGAACCACAGATTTGAACAGTGTGTGTCCACTTATACATGGGTTTATTTCAACAAATACTGTAAATGTGTTTTCTTTTCCTTATGGTATTTTTAACAACACTTTCTTTTTCTTTAGCTTACTTGATTTTAAGAATACAGTATATAATACACGTAACAAACAAAATATGCATTAATTGCATATTTTATGCTATTTATGTTATCAGTTAGGCTTCCAGTCAGTAGTAGGCTATCAGTGGGTAAGTTTTTGAGGAATCAAAAGTTTTACTCCAAGTTTTGACTGTGCAGAAAGTTGGCTCCTCTAAACTTTGCTTTGTTCAAGAGTCAACTATATATCTAAACCAGTATAAAGTTTTCATGGCTGGCACTTAGATTTTCCTTGTAGAAGGAAAGAGAAATGGTGAGGAAAATACAAGAGTCCTAATCTATCACCATGGTTTTTCTAAAATCTAAAGTGCCGGTGCTTAAATACAGGGGGGGGGGGGGGAAGAAAGTGGAAACATAAGGAAGATAAATGTCTTCGTCACAGTCCACAATTTCACAGGTAACACCTTTAGAAGGAGGCAAGATAGCACATTTTTGTTTTATTTCTTTTTATTTTTTATTGCATTTTTTTCATGAGCACTTATCCCCCTTATCCCTTCTTCCACCTCCGCCTACACCCTCCCCCACAACTGCCCCTGTTGTCTAGGTCCATTCCTCAGGCCTTTAAGCACAGCAAAGGCAGCTTCTTAGATGACCTTTGTTCACACTGTCCACCCCAAAATTTGGCCACTAAGATTGGGCTCCGGAAAGATAAAGGCAGTTCCGGAAAACTGTACTGTCTTTGTTCCCAACCACAGTGTCCATCCTGCATCCTTTTACCCCTTTCTTTGCCAGCATTTCAAATAGTAGAAGAGTCTCTTATGGAATATAGTAAGCTACTCAAAAGATTCCTTCTTTAAGTATTTAAGATGAAAGTTGCTATAGCAACTTACAGTGTTATTTCCATCTGGTATGTCATCTTCTCCCTAACCCAGCACGAGGACTAAATGCATACCCTTTAAAAAATATTTTATTGTTGTTCAATTATAGTTGTCTGTATTTTCTTCCCACTCCTCCTCCCCACCCCCTCCAAAACCACCTCCCTCCCTTGCTTCCACCCTCCTGCTTGGTTTTGTCCTTGTGTCCTTTACAGTAGTTCCTGAAAACCCAACCAGGCTATTTACTTGACCTGTCTCAGTGAGCAGTGTTAACTGTGGCAAGCCCCCATTTGTTGGCCATGATTGATATTGACTGCGCTAAGAACCAACTCTAAGTTGTGCTAAGGTCTGGTTTGTCCTTCACCCCTTAATCGTGCATCTCCCTCCTCTCTCAAAATAGAGTTTCCACAAGCATGTGGCACCGAAGGCAGTGGTTGTCTAATACTTAGAGCAATGCACAATTTGAAAGTAGCACCGTGGGGGATGCTTGAGGGGTCTGAAGGAGCTGCATCCTGTGTCAGTCATTTTCACGTGGTTTCTGAATGTTTATGGGTTTCTGCATTGTCCTCATGGAAAGGTGCACCCACCTTGCCTCACATACCCTTGGGTCCCAGTGGCCCTCTGCACCTTTATGCCACAAAGGTAACATTTGCAGTTGTTTTCAGCAGGGCATGAAAATAGCCCCAGTGTCTATGCCCAAAGATTTTTTCTTTTCAAATATGTAGGAAAAGCTAGTGGCTACATCTTTGCAACAGAGACGAGCTTAACTGTGTAGATGATAACCAGTCTTTATCTCTCTAAAAGACCTGTAAGTTAAACTATTCATAGGCTGTGATTTTTCCTGGACACTGAATACTTTCACTGATAACATCTCTTGGCAGGAATGCGGTAAAAATATTCCTCACTGGACATTTGAAACCAACTTGCCCTATACCTTGGGGAGCAGAAAAGAGTACACTTCCCTTTTTTCTTTGTGGCCCACATTGGCTAGGATTCAGTAGGATCTTTTGGGGGAGCACCTGGGAATGTCAGGGGGTACTGATCAATATTCTCTGAGAGAAAGCAGGGATGGCAGTATCATGAGGAAAGCATGAGGTGCACAGTTAGAAAGAGTGGTGTGAGTGGGACTTGGCAATGCAGATGAAGTCATGCAATTCCTTTGTTCCTCAGTGTTCTTCATCTACAAAATGGGCAAAACAACAATGCCTGACACACAGAGTTGTCACCTTTAGCGTTTGGTAACTGTGTCTTCACTTCAAGAAGAGGGACCTGTCCTGGGTTTGTTCTGGTACTAAAAGTTCAGATGAAGTTTCAGACAAGACTGTTATAAAACTGCTGTAGCAGATTGACCTAGATTGATCTAACTTTACATTGGGGATGATATATTCTCAGAAGGCCTGGCTGGCCACTAACAAGGTGTGTAGAAAAGTTATTTAATTTTCCCTGGGTTTTTTCTGTAACCTGAGGATAATCATAGCTATTTTAGAGAGCTGTATTAGTTAAAGATGATTCAGGGAAAGCACTTGATACTTAGTAGGAACTGAGTCGGTAATGAAAGTGCCTAACCTTTACTAACAGAGCATTATGTGCCTGAAATTGTGTCATATGTGCATTGTCTCCTTGGAGCCTCATGAGAACATTGTAGGGGAAGTACTGATATTATAACCATTTTACCAAAGAAGAAACTGAGTCAGATGAAGCAAATCAGTTTTAAAGCCAGAGTTTGAAGTTGAGCAGTCTGACTCCAGAGTTCACACACTTACCTACTTTGCTAAACTGCCTCCCCAAATTGGATATTGTTGGTATTAAATACTCTTGATCTTGGCTGTGCCATCTGAGCATGCCTGGAAGTGCCATTGTATTTGAACAGAGTTGGGCTTCTAGAGGCATGTTTTAGAGCCAGTTCAGACTGGCACCTTTCCTCATCTCATTTTCCCTTTCCATTTCCCCCTGGTAATGAACGCTGCTCTCTGTTCTTCCTCTCTCTGCGAGGTAAAGGATTCGGATGGGACACTAGGGAGCAACAGATTATGAGGAAGAAGTAAACAAAGTGGGGGAATCTTTATAATAACTACAGCAAAGAAATGCAATCACAACAGGACTGCCAGCTTGAGAATCTGGGGGGTCATGACATAGATTAGACTTTTCAAGGGCACCTTCCTTATTTCTTTCACTTGTGGATCCCAGTTTCAACCTGAAAAGCCCTAGCAGTTTTACTCAGATACTGTGTAGTAAGAATTACTACATGTAGATTGCCAACTTGTTTGTTAGTCTTTAATTATAAAGTAATTTGACTTGTGTGAAGTTCAGGAACTTAATTGCCTTCTCAAAGGTGAAAAGCTACCTCATTGTTAGCAAAGGGATGGAGGATCAGTTTCTATTTGTTATTATTAACAGATTAACCATTTCTCTTGCAAAGACACAGAAAATTGGGAGGAGGAAAAAAGGAAATATAATGTAAAAAGAATCTTTCCATCATTCATAATCAAATTAAATGTTCTCTTTTTTGAGAAGAAAGGAATACTACATAACAGAAAGAATGCATGTATAACACATGAATTAGAAATTATACAAAATATCACGCCTAATTTACTATGCTCTCTTGTGGTCTTTGCTTTTTTGTGGTTTTATTCTGGTCTTCAGTGTGGACAGCTATTAGACTTTAAAAATTATTTTCTTGAGGGGGGCATATTTGAAGTATAATCATGGTTTAACTTGTTCTCAAAGCAATTCCCTTTTGATTTGTTCGAAGTCTTTGAGCTATTCCGCATCAGGCTTTATACTTGGTTTCAACCCCCAACTAAGTTAGTTCAGAATGGCTATCCTTGTTGTTAGAAAGCATGAAATAGTTTTCATATGCCATGTGTCCTAAAATCTCTTTTTAAATAAACTTTGGAAGTCTCATGTACCCTTACCTTAGAAAATCACTTATATACATTCTTTTCTAAAGGTAGAATGGTCACATCACCATGACTGAGTCTGTGAGAGGCTATTTTCTTTCTTGTCTCTCCACATTATCAGTCATGTGTGATGTGTGAAAGGAAAGTGTCTTTCAAAAGGTAATGATTAAAGGACATCTTATTCAAAACAAGAATGAGGACATTCACATTTTGAACAAATATATAAGGATTACACTCAAAGAATAAAGTAAGTATAAATTTTGAAAGTCTAATGTACAGTCAACAAGGATCAAACTGATAGAAACAAACAAAAAAGCTGCAAATATTGCCTTCAAAAGAAAAAAAAATAAGTTGTTTCATTCAAAGAGGCTTCACCTCTTTTTCACAAAGGATCTGTTACAAATGTTAGTCCCCCAACCTACTTTGGACTCTTTTTACTATCCATTCTGCATTAGCTACAGAATCAAGAAGTTCTCCAGGCAGGAATGGTTTACAAGTATACGCATGGAGAATGTATTGAATCAGAAATTCTTGGACAGTGCTATTGCATTCCACCTTTAGCAGGCAACTTTAACAGAAGAACAACAACCCACACCAGTCATCCTAAGATTAAAGAGAGTCCACTAACTTTACAGGAATAAATTACGAGCAAAGTTTCACTGTGTTCCTCATTTTGAGACTCTCATGTTTTAAATGTACCCTTTGTCCTAATCAGAACAAAACACCCAAGACCCAAAGGTACTGAATCCTCTGTTCTTTTTCGCCTTTTGCTTTCCCT